CTTTGCCGAGCTGAATGCGCACTTTCATCTGGTTTGGTCTGCCGCCGTTTCCGTAGCGTCGTGAACGCGCTTTCAGGAAATCCTATACACTACTGTTTATGGTCTAAAAACATTCTAAATGACTTCGTTTCGAGTAAATTCTGGAGGGGGTGAGTAGAAAATGAAGGCTAATCATGTTTTGGGTGTACTATTCCTTTAAGTACAGCATTACACTTTTTTGTGCAGAAGTTTCAAATTTCTGCAACTGTACAAGATTAACTTCCGCTGAGAGAGAGAGAGAGAGAGAGAGAGAGAGAGAGAGAGAGAGAGAGAGTTCACAAGGTCTCATTCTTCCACTTTAACTTTTTTTATGCTTTAGACATTGTCCAGTCCTTCATGTGCCAACATTTCTGACAAGACAAGACAACATTTTTTTTGTTTTGTTTTTACAGTAACTAAACCAAGTTTGTTCTGTACACGTTCCCACCTCCACAAGAAAAGCCAGGAGTTCAAACGGGGAGAGGGGAGGGGAGGGGGGGAGGTTAGGGTAGAGGGAGGGGAAATTATCCCATATAACGCGCCTTCCATTTCCAGAGGGGTCCTGGACGCGCTCTGCCCCGGCCGCGCCGAGGGGTGATGCAGGCTGGAGTCCAGCGCGATCTGCAGGTCCAGGATGTAGTCGATGACATGCTGCAGGATTTCCATCTTGCTGACGTTCTTGTTCTGCAGGATGCTGGGAACCAGCTCCTTCAGCTTGGAGTAGCAGTCGTTCATGTTGTAGAGCAGGCTGAGCGGGTCGTCCACCGGGGTCTTGCTCCGGGAGATTCCCAGGGAGTGCTCCGAGAAATTTGTGCTGGTTTTCCGGAAGGACCGAACGGGGCTTATTGCTTTCATTCTGCTGGGGTGGAAGAGTTTAGTCGCCGGTGTTCTGTGTGTAGGAGGAGGGGGGGAAGAGTTGGCTTCCAGGCTTCGGTTCGGTTATTCCTGCTTAGTTTCTGTCAGACGGTCAGAATCTTTGTTTTTCTGGTAACAGCGATTATATATTGGTCACTAAAAGCTACAGGCACAGAAATTGCCTTGGAGCACTGCAGAGCAGCATTTGTGTGGATGTGGTCATTGCATTTTCCACAGATAATCCCATCATTCTAATGTTTAATCTTGAGGGGACTTCAACAATTTGGGATAGACCACTCGTTCTAAATATAAATAGTAACTTTTTTTCCTGTTGGGACAACACTGCACCAACCAGTCAACATTTGCATCACCCAGCAAATAAACCTCACTATATTTATCTGATGTCTTATCAAACAGTTCACACAAACCAGTCATATACACAGCATCTGCAGTAAGGGGCCTGTAGAAGCAACAAACTAAAAGTGGTTTTAATTAAGGCACCTTTATTTGTACACAGCGTCTTCCCTCATCAAAACGAAACATATTTTGGAAGGTGAATTATCGTGTACATATAGACCCACTCCACCCCCAAATCTATTTCTGTCTTTATTAAAAACACAAAAAAACATCTATGGTTATGCTTGAGTCAGAGAAGGAATCATCAAGATAGGTCTCCGAAACAACAATGATTTTAAAACATGACTACCTTATGCAAGTTCAAGTTAATGCAAGACATATCCTCACTGGGCACAATCAAAAACAACAATATAACTATAAAAGCAGCTTGACATCAAACCACGGACTCATACAATTTCTTCTAAATTCTCTAAGCTCCTGAGGACTAGAAGTTGTGCATGCTCAGGAGCACCATTAAGTCATACATATATCTTACAATCTGAGGACCATTTTGCCTGTATTGTTCCCTCTTTGCACAGGCAATGGACTCCCTTTTTTCAATTTCAGCATTGCTCTTGGTCAAATGTTCATTAATATTAATTTTATTAATATAAAGATTGTAACCTTTTAGCTTCTTGGCTTGTCGCAAAAGACTGACTTTATATTTTCTGTTTGCAAATCTCATGATGATGTTAGGTGGCTTACTTTTGTCCATTTGAGGAAAAGGGTTACAAACTTCATTGTTCTCCTTTTTTATATTAATACCATTTCCATATTGAAATTCTCCACCTGTTGCTCCACTGGGTCCAAATCCTGGTCCGTTGGCAAAGAACCCTGGACTCACTGCAGTCCCTCACTGCAGTAGCAAATAAAGAGGGTCTTGTTGAAAGTCCTGTAATAATAACATCATTCATTCGAGTATATTGCTCTAACTCAGATAATCTACCTTCTAGGTGTACAATCTTAGCATCTTTCTCGTCGTTTTGCTTTTTCAGTTCTTTAATGTCTCATCATGCCCATCAGAGAATCTTGCTTACTTGCCATACTGTATTTTCACGACTATAAGGCGCATATAAATGTCTTTTTTTCCCCTCAAAATGTGCGGCACGCCCTATAGTGCGGTGGCCCTATGTGTGTTGTTACTGCGGACGTTGTTGAGACCACCATGAGAACGTTAAAGGGGGAAGTGAGGGCGTGGATTGTGTATAAAAGAACAGGTATGTCTCCTCATTGAGGATATGATAAAAGAGTGGCTGAGGGAGGTGTATGTAAGGAGACCAGGTGGTTTTTTCCACGCATCACCATCGCTGTTAAACTGTCACTCCATGCATGCCCATCTCACAGCCGACGTGAAAAACATGGTGAAAAAAATGAAAGCTGTGCTTGCTGTTATTCCGGGAGGTCTGACAAAGGAACTTCAACAGCTCAACATCGGTGTGAATGGGCCGTTCAAAGTAATGCTACATTTTTGCTGCTTGTACCAGTTAGCTCTGATGCGCGGCTAAAGCAGCTTTGCTGCTCTGGCTGCGCGGTGCAAAAGTGTGTCTGACGCGCGTTGGGCGGAGTTACTCTATCCTTTCTTTGCCTTGCAGCTATATTTGCTGTGATCAATGGGAATAAAGTGGTTTTAATATGTTTTTAAGTGAGAAAGTCCACCTGAAAACTTAATCATTGCAGTCAGTTCATCCAGATTACCATCCTGCCTTTTAATATTATTTCTGTCGGAGCTGCTCAGACTCTGTTGAATCCCATTCAACAGCAGCCTCTGGCCGGGTCGCCTTCTCGCGGTTCACAGCGACAGCTGTGTAAATAATCTAATCTGCAGGCACCAGGATAATAAAAGCGAACATATTCTGCCAGCAGATTTCTGCATTTTAAGTTAATTTATGCGTCAAACTGTTTCAGAGGAGTGATCACAGCGCTCTGTCATCAGCAATGTGTCTGTCTCACGCCCAGCTCCCAGGTTTGATTAATACTTTGTAATAAATACGTGAATAAAGCACAATCATACTCAGTTTTGCTCCCGCTCTATTTTTAAATACGCAGTAGAGGTATTTAAACATGGTAGAGGACATGTACCTATAAAACCCACGCCCTATAATCCGGTGCGCCTTATGTGTGTATTTAATACAGTAATGGCACACCTAACTGAGACTGCGCCTTTTAGTACGGTGCGCCTTATGGTTGTGAAAATACGGTAGTTTCCATTTGGTGTGCCATGAACTTTACTGATTTCCTCAGCTCCTCATTTGCTTGTTTTAACTCCTCCATGTCTCTTTTGGTTGACATGGTTGGCAGTCCCAGCGTGGCAGTCCCAGCAACCAGGGCAGATTACACCTGGTGGTGGATGCCTCGCCTGGTGTTGCAAGCTGCTGCCTCGCCTGGTGTTGCAAGCTGCTGCCTCGCCTGGTGTTGCAAGCTGTTTCCTGGCCTTGTGGTGGAGGCTCCTGCCTGGTAAAACACTGCACAGCTTTTGCAGTGCAGTGCAATGTTTGATTTGATTTTGTTGAAAAGGGAAGAAATGTTTGCCAAGTCCTCAGTATATAATGTTGTACAGTTTCACAATATCAACCCTGTTTCTTTACATAGGCTGAGGTTGAAAGAAGGAACCTAAAGTATGACATTTGGGAGTTTCTTAGGGTTGTCTTATTGTTTTTCTATCCATTTGTTGTTTTTTCTTTTCTATTTTTGTTCTATAGTTTCGTTGTCTTAGGTCTGATAATTTTTTTTTATTAACCATATTCTCTCCACTATAGTTTACCACTACCACACAATTTATAGGTTCTCACAGGGTGCACTAGCAATTCTTTCCCCTTTTAGCACCAGATCTTTCATTCCTCTGGTGTGAGGAGTAAATATTATTTTCTATAGGTCTGCTGGACATAAACAACATGTTTATTGGTCAAAAGCGAGCATTTGATAGAGGTTTAATTTCTAATTTGCAATTTCTTTTATAATTTCTATATACAAAAGGTATTCTTTGCAACAATAATGGAACAAAATCCACTCCATATCTAGCACCACATCTTGCTTATTTGCAAAGTACCAAACATTTTGCTAATAAAACTATGTTTGATAGTAATATTAGTTTATTTTATAACATTGTAAATCCAGGTATTTAGAGGACAGCAAGATCACAGCAGCTCATTAAAATATACACTGCCTGGCCAAAAAAAAAGTCGCCACCAAAAAAAAAGATCACTCACTCTAATACTTTGTTGGACCGCCTTTAGCTTTGTTTATGGCACGCATTCGCTGTGGCATTGTTTCGATAAGCTTCTGCAATGTCAAAAGATTTATTTCCATCCAGTGTTGCATTAATTTTTCACCAAGATCTTGCATTGATGATGGTAGAGTCTGACCACTGCGCATAGCACATCCAAAGACTCAATGCGGTTGAGGTCTGGACTGTGGTGGCCAATCCATGTGTAAAAATGATGTGTCATGCTCCCTGAACCAGTCTTTCACAATTTGAGCCCGATGAATCCTGGCATTGTCATCTTGGAATATGCCTCCGCCAACAGGGAAGAAAAAGTCCATTGATGGAATAACCTGGTCATTCAGTATATTCAGGTAGTCAGTTGACCTCATTCTTTGAGCACATACTGTTGCTTAACCTAGACCTGACCAACTGCAGCAACCGCAGATCATAACCCCGCCCCCACAGGCTTGTACAGTAGGCACTAGGCATGGTGGGTGCATCACTTCACCTGCCTTTCTTCTTACCCTGATTCGCCCATCACTCTGGAACAGGGTAAATCTGGACTCATCAAACCACTGGACCTTCTTCTATTGCTCAACAGTACAATCTTTATGCTCCCTGCAAATTGAAGCCTTTTTTTTCCAGTTAGCCTCACTGATTTGTGGTTTTCTTACAGCTACACAGCTGTTCAGTCCCAATCCCTTGAGTTCCCTTCGCATTGTGCGTGTGGAAATGCTCTTACTTTCAGTATTAAACATAGCCCTGAGTTCTACTGTTGTTTTTCTTCGATCTGATCTCACCACACGTTTAAGTGATCGCCGATCACGATCATTCAGGATTTTTTTCCTGCCACATTTCTTCCTTTAAGATGATGGGTCCCCACTAGCCTTCCAGTTTTTAATAATGCGTTGGACAGTTCTTAACCCAATTTTAGTAGTTTCTGCAATCTCTTTAGATGTTTTCTCTGCTTGATGCATGCCAATGATTTGACCCTTCTCAAACAGACTAACATCTTTTCCACGACCATGGGATGTGTCTTTCGACATGGTTGTTTAGGAAATGAGAAGCAAGTCATTGCATCAGTTGGGGTTAAATAACTTGTCGCCAGCTGAAAGATAATTGCCCATGCAGTAATTATCCAATAGGAGGCTCGTACCTATTTGCTTAGTTGAATCCAGGTGGCGACTTTTTGTTTGGCCAGGCAGTGTATAAACCACACCTTCATAAACCTGCTGTGCAATTATATATATATAAAAAAAACATTTTAATTATTTTCTTCTACAGTGAAATCATTCTCCTAAAAAGTTTTTCTAGACAAAGAGCACAATAAGTCATCATTTCAAAACATCATGATAAAAAGGGGGCTTTTGTGTTTACAGAGTAAGCTCCCATTTGGAGCATTTTCCTTGCTTTTTGTTAAAGTTGGGAGGCTCTGAGTTCCCATGTGTATTTGAATGCAGCATAAAGGCACCAGTGTTTTGATAAAGTAGGAGACGGACTGCGGTCAGTTGCAT